AAAAAAAAAACTTAGAACCATTTCTGTAACAAAATCCACCACGTTTGGATCTCAATCTGACCCTTTTTGGATTGTCCAGCAGAAGCTGGTCTTAAATAACTGATGTCATGATGCTGACCATTTGACTATAGCTCTAGATAAACCCTCCTTCACTTCTGACCCAGGAGTCTCATATCCTGTACCGCCATCCATGATGCTGTATCAGCCCAATTTTAACTTGCAAGTTGACAGATGGGTCAGACTCTTCATGGTTCTTAACAGCCATGCATGTTATGAAATACTACGCATTTATTAGAGATTAAGGTAGATGCTTGAGAATTCCATAAATGTTAAATTAAAAATCAGGCTGCTAAACATTTTGACAGGATTCTATTTTGTTATTTAAATAAATCATACAAATAAAGTTTGTAAGTGATGTGTTATATTGGCTGCTGACTTTGAGAGTAGGAATAGAGAGTGAGAATTAAAACAAAAATCATGCTTATTTTGTGTCTTGTATTTTCTTAATGATTGTAACAAGTCTGTCCTTTTTTTTTTGATAAAAGGATTCTTAGAACTGTTTATTCTACTAATGCAAATACCTCGACAATTTCCCTGTATAGCCATCCCTGAATGTGCAGCTTTGCTCTGCCCAGAAAATTCCAGATGTTCACCTTCCAGTGAGGATGAAACCAAACTCGAGTGCAAATGCCTCTCAAATTACAAAGGCGATGGCCAGAACTGCGAGCGTGAGTAGAAGTCCCTCCTGGCAGCTTACCCATCGAGATGTTTAGGTTGTCCAACAGGGAAAGAAAAACCTTACAAGCTCCTGTTAGTAACACAGTGACTCTATTTCTCTCCATGTAGCCGAGTGAAAAAATATAAAAGGCACTAGGCAAAATCTCATCGCATGGAAGTCCTGAACAAATGGCAGATTCTCCCATTATCACAACTCATCTATAGATTTTACACACTGTTGTATCACCTTAAGCAATCGTGGTATAATATTTAGTGCTTCTTTTTTAAAATTTTTTTTTGTGTGTTTGTTCTCATTATGAGAGCTGTGTTCCTCTTCTCCAGAGAGGAACTCTGGAGCCAACATTGCCTGGATTTACACTGTAACTTTGCCGTTTATTAAACTGTGCCTCAGTTTTCCCATTCACCAAATGGTGATAATGGTCTCTTTATTAGGAGGTAGCTGTAAGGATTAAGTTAGTTAATATGTGGCAAATGCTAAGAACAGAGCCCAGTGTATGTTATAAATTCTACAAGCATCAGTGTTTTCTTTCATGCTATTTTATACTTGATTTCACGAGTTGCATGACACTATAATGTGTCAGCACGGTATTTGAGTTACAGTTTCTGATGGCCATGTACAAATCTGTGGTGGGGGTGGGGAGAGTGTCAGATGAGATGAGATGAAATGGCTCTTTCTCTATTGAAAGTATTGGCTTGCCTTTGTGGCTTTGAGGCACTGTGGCACACAGTTCCCTCACAGCTCACTTTTCCTCCTCTTTCCCTGAGTATGCTAACCACCTTTCATTTTGTCATTGCCTCTCAAGCCATCAATCCATGTTTACAAAACATCTGCCACCCTCACGCTCATTGCACGTACCTGGGACCAAACCAGCACAGTTGTACATGCCAAGAAGGCTACAGCGGGGATGGCCAAGTGTGCTTGCCAGTAGACCCCTGCCAAACTAACTTTGGAAACTGCCCTGCACAGTCTACGGTGTGCAAATATGATGGGCCTGGACAGGTAAGCTAAGGATGCATGGAACTGATATGTCTAGAAGCAGGACAACTGCTGCAGGTGACCTGTGCCATTGGTACCGTGTGTCTTCCATGTCTTCTAGTTCTCCCGTCTGAAGCTTAGTTTGGGTGGCCTCTCCAAACAGTCTTTTGTGTGCCTAGAGCCTGACTTCAGGGCTTCCCCACCCACTCTACTCTCCAAACTCACACTTTCCTAGCCTCCCAGCCAAAGCTTAACTGTGCCATGTTTTCCTATCACAGTCCTAAAGGTGATTGACAAAATACATGCACAATTCAAAATTGGATGAACAAATCACCTTTATCCAAGACACATGTGAATATGATTGATGTCATCCACCCTCAATCTTCTATTCTCTCCAAGGCCTTTTTAAGTTAAGAAGAACTCTTAGAAGCCTAAATGCCCTGTGTCAGCAGCATTAAAAGATTTTGAGAGCAGCAAAGACATCCTGGGGTGAGACACCACCCTTCTAAGTTGTATCATGACCTTGACTGATAAAAGTCATCTTGGTCAGGGGACTTCTGCTGAGGTAGTCCGTTGAAAGAGCCCTATCCCTAAAAGCACATCCATCCATGGTGTGTTTAGTGGATGCCTCCTGTGTGCACAGATGCAAATCAAGTGCTCAGTGAAGGAAATCAATCCACACGGGGAGCTAGTGCAGCACGGAAGGAGGAAAGGTCCATGCCCAGCCCAAAGACAGCCCTGGAACCCCTACAGGCTATCAGCACCTTGGTGGGAATGTTTGGGAATTCTTCAGAGAATCCACCCCATCTCTCCTCAAAGAGAAAGACTGCATGACACAATAATGCCACTTTTCCGAGGCAGGTTTGCAAAGAAATACAAGATACTAAATTCTCCTCCTCTGAATGAAGGCTTTGTAGGAAAAATTCACGTTTGCCAAGACCTTGGGAATAAGATTAAAAGTGTGCTTTGTCTCTTTAAAAAACTGGGTCCCACTGCAGATTTTCAAGTCTTAGAAAGTCTTCATTGCTTACAAAGAAGTATTATTCCAGAGCAGGGCTTCTCAAACTCAGTGTTATTAATGTTTTAAACTGTTGGGCTTTGAGGCATCCCTGGTCTCTAACAGCCTCAACCTCCTCCCTTTGTGACAATCAAAAATGTTTCTAGACATTGTCCAGTGTCCTCTGGGTTAAGGTTTTTGATTGAAAACCATTGTTCTGAAGCAATAATGCTTCCCGTCTGGAACACTTACCTCTGTTCATCTATAGACAACCTAAAACCAAGAATTATGCACATAAAAATTAATAAAACCAGGAATTATGTAGCCAGTGAAGTCAAAAGTTACACAATAAGGAAAAACAAAAAACCAAACTTTACAAATCAAGAGGTACGACCTTCCCACAGGTAAGATATAGAAACATGACTTTGATTTCTGGAAACTTTGGGAAATACTTGGTTTAAGCCCACACTTCAGACCTGCTTGGAGTTAGTTTTTATGGCAGAATTAAAAAATTCATAAAAAATCCAATTTGTTTTTCTCTCTGTGTCTCCTGAAGTCTCACTGCGAGTGTAAGGAACATTACCGGAATTTTGTACCTGGAGTGGGGTGCAGTGTAACCAACATCTGTGAATCAAACAACCCATGTCATAGAAATGCCAACTGTACAACCATCGCACCAGGCCAAACAGAGTAAGTCTTCTCAGTTCCACCATATCTCTTCCAAATGGTGGCCAATCAATGCAGTAAGGTCCTTAAGGGGGAGGAGTGTGTCTTATTTTACTATAAATCCACCTCCACCCTATAGAGGAGCAAGGAACATAGTAGGTATTCAGTAAATCTGAGTTTAATCGATGAATCACTCAACAATTATTTCCTTTGTAATGACCACAAGAAGCACTCTGGAACATTGGCCTGACCTGATACCTGGGCACGAAAAGGTCAGAGCAGAGGACAAGGAAACCATCATGACTGGGAAAACAAATGGCTATAGCAATTGCAGGCATTTGACAGCTAATTCAGGAAATACTGCTCGTGAGTGGTGCAAAACAAGGCTGGCGAAGGGGAATACGCACAGAGGTGATTCCTGGCCTCCAGGTTTCACAGGAGGGAGTTTACTATGAAGGAAAACACTTGCAAAATCCTGAGGCAAAGGCAACTCATGTGATGGAAGGGGGCTGGTACTCAGGATTCAGTCTCAGCTCTGGTACCTACTAGATGCATGACCTTAGGAAGATGGCACGCTCTCTGGCCTCAGTTTCTCTATGTATAAAATGAACACAGGGGTTGGGGCGTGTAGCTCAGTGGTAGAGCACTTGCCTGGCATGCATGAGGCCCCGGGTTAGATCCCCAGCACTGCGAAAACAGACTTAAAATGAGACAAGGATCTCCACTCCATAATATTGTGACAGTTCCATGAGAGAATGCTGGACGGGTATATTGTATTTTCATTACTGATTGAATTGAAGCTAGAACCCATCCTTTGACAAGTTAGTTCTCATGGTCATCAGTCTCTGTGAAGAACTTACACTACCCTTGTGAGCACAAAATCATGGTGACATTGAACCATGCCATTTGCTTGTTGTGACAAGCAAACGTGTCTCCATGCCACCTCCTGTGGGATTCGTCCTCTGTTCTCCCAGTCCACTCTGATGCCCTTCTCTCTGGGCTCCCAGCACATCCTGGAATGCTTCTGTCCCAGCATTTATGAGGAGCTCCAGCCCTGCCACTTAGAGGCTGTGTGATCTTGAGTGAGTTGCTTAACCTCTCAGTGCTTCAGTTTCCTTATCTAAAATGGAGCTAATAACAGAACCTACCTCATAGAGTTGTTGTATTAAATAAGGTACTAGAATGAGGTCCTTAGAGGAATAAATGCTAACTATTATTATCATTACTGATCTCAGTCCCTAACTACAATACAAACAGGATCCTTTGGGTTCATGTCTTACTCATGTTTGTTATAACAACTGTTAATTGATTAAAACAATGAAATGAGTGAGAGTTTGGAGGAACAAATGAATCAATGTAGAAATGAAATGGACTAGTGAAGAAATAAAGGCAGAAATTGCTCTAAGGTATTGGGGACACCCTATATATTAGCTAAATCTCACCCAGCATTAAATGTCATTTATTCCAACTCTAACTGATAAAGTGCAGATGGATTCTAGGTGCTTTTAAACTCTTAATATAGCAAAAGATGTTTATACCTAATAAAAAACCAATTTATTAGCAGCCACAGTCTATGAATGTCCTTTGGCCCAACTGAGATTATTTAAATCAGAAAACAGTCTCATAAAGTTTAAACCAAGATTTAAAAACAAAAACTAAAAATGTTTATGTCTCATACATTCCGTTCAGCACTGAGATCATTACTCTACACAAAACCAACCATTGGCTTCCTTACAACTTCAGGAACTTTTAAAAAGAAACATAATTCATGGTTAGTAACAGTTGTTCACTGTTATCTTCAAATGCAATTTGCGTAATTTATAGCCTCCCCCTCCTTAAATAAGTACAACTTGTACTTACACAAGTACAAATTGATGTTTAAGTTAGAAACTATTACTTGATTTTATGAAATAGATACTGGTTTGGTTAGATCTAGTTAGTAATTCTTTGTAGCAAGACTTCTCAGCTCAGTGCTGTGGACTATTTTGTCAGGACAGTTCTTTTATTGGGACATGGGGAAGTGGCCCAGGCACTGTAGGATGTTTAGCTACCAAGAGTTCCTCATCTGGTGACAAGCAAAAATATCTCCCAACCCTTTGTCCAGCTGGAAAACTCATTTATATTCTTCTAGAATTTGCTTAAATGTTACCTCCCCCTAGAAGTTGTCCCCACTTCTTCAAGGACAATTAGTCACTTCTCTCCATCCTCTCAAGCATCCTACTCAATCTTTAATCATGACACTTATTCTGGGACTTAAATTACCTGTTGACAAATTTGTCCTGCTGTCTCCCAGCAATTCTCTGTTACTGTTGTTATAGTCACTGTCTCAGTATCATTGTCATCCTTGTCACTGTCATCATGTGCCAAGTTTTGAGTTTTTTCCATGTGTCTGCCACTGTGCTAGCTTTCATTAACTCTCCTCTGAAGAACTCTGAAGGAATTGATAAGCCCACAGATGAGAACACTGGAACTCAGGTGGCTGAATGGCCTTATCATGTTGCTATCATTATTTGTTTTCACATATGTCTTAAAAGTGAGACTATTCTAGCCCTCTTACCTAGCAAGGTTCCTGGAATTAAGTGGGTGCTTAGTAAATAATCAGTCCAACAATGAGGCACTGTCTTAGGTTCTGGGTTATAATAAGTATGCAAAGAGTAAGGTGGCACTCACATTCATGGAGAGTCCCCATTTAGCAAAGAGCACACATCCTGAGAGGTAATTCTGGCAGGGAGGGGTCGTGATGCTTAGGCAGCTGTAACCCAGCTAGGGAGAATCAGGAGGTCAGCTAAGGCTGCTGAGAGCAGGGGACACCTGAGCTGTCAGGTGAGGGGGTAAACATTGCTGGCAGGGCATACAACCCCAGAAATGTATAGCAGCCTTAAAAACAAAAAGAAATCGTTTCGATGTGGGTGATGTTTGCAGGGGACAACAGGGAGCAGACCTAGCAGGCCCCCCCTGCGTCATAGCCTGTAGATGAAACTTGTTGTGAGTGTTTGGAGCACACAGGTGCTGGCTTTCTTTGGGGGAGAGCCCTCTAAGGTTGTGTGAAGGGCAGAAGGACTAGCTAGGAGGCTGCTACAGCAATCTAGGCCAAAAAAAGGGTGACAGGCCTCAAGAGCTTTTGTTCCACAAACTTGTTGAAAATAATCTCTGAGACCATATTTAGAAGTACACTGGATTAGACAAGTGTTGTAGCTATTCTTCTGGGATGCACTAAGACATGAGTCACATCTGTGTACGCTGTTTGACCACAACAAAACTGTAATGCTGTCACAGCACCTCTTCTGCCTCCCTATATCTCTCTCTCTGGAGCATTCTTCCCTACCTCATGCTTGGCTTCTTACTCATCTCTAGGATCCTGGTAAATTTCACCTTCTTAACACTGTCAATTTCAGCCAGCAATAAACTTCCCCTCCAGGGAGTAGCAGCATGCAACAGCCAGCACTTCACTGATCACGCAGTAGTGCTTAATTTTCCAGGAATTTTATAAGCTTGATGTCACGTTGGTAGAT